CTGGGAGCGGGGGTGGCGGGGTTGGGGCAGGGCCGGGGTTGTTTTTGCGGGGGCGGGGGTCGGGTAGCCCCGCGGCGGGGTTCCGGGGTTGAAACCCCTACCCCGGCTTGGGCCCCGGGGATCCCCGCGTGACAAGGCTGGTTCAGGGTAGTGATGGGAAAATCATGAAATTGATTTTTGTTGAGTGTATTCTAAACTGACCCTGACCCTCAAGGGGTCTGCTGAGACTGAGCACTCGCTCATACTAACTAACCTTCTCTCTCCAGGCAAGTGGCAGCAACTGAGTGAGTACTGCAAAGAAAACTCAATTACTGCTACTTCCTGTTTCTCTCTAAGTATTTGTTTGTTTTTATTTATCTGAATTGTGGGAAATCAAAATGGCAGATGCTGGGAAAGGAGAGGCTTCTGAGGCAAAGCCTCGGATTCCGTTTGACCCTTTAGAGGTTGAGCTGCGGGCCCAGCAGGAGAAACTTCTGCAGCAGGTCCAGGCAGTTGAGTCCCTAAAGTCTGAGCTGAAGAAGAAAAAAGAAGCTACTGAGAAGGAGGTCAGGAGAAAGTTGTTGATTGCAGATGTGGAGAAGATCAGGACAAGTGGTACTTCCAGCCAGTACAATAAGGACATGGTTGAGTTCATCCTCTTGCAGGATGATATCCACAATTCTTATTTTACTAACTAGGATGACCGGATTACCAGTCTGGAGAGCAGTCATTCAGCTTTCTCCAAAAAGTTGGATGACATCTCTGCCAAACTGGACCAGATCTTTACTCATTTGAAGATCCCTACCACCTTAACCTTGCCTCCATCCCCTGGGCCTTCTCAAGCAGGCCCTCAGCAACTCCCACAATCTAGACCCTCATCCCATCTTCTACACCCAAGTCAACAGCCGCTTCACAACCCTCAGTTTCATTTGATCAGCAGCGGCCCAAGCTGACCCCTCCACCCATGTTCTTTGGCGAGGACCCTAAGGTGGATGTTGCAGATAGGGTCACTGTTCAAAGAACCTACCTGAGTGGGTTCAAATGTGACGAGGATGTGAAAGTGTCAACCATCCTTGCTCGTCTGGAGAGGACTGCACTGGAATGGTGCACCTCTACCTCCAGCAAGCAAGGTATGGAGGTGTCTGATTGGGCGCAGAGGTTGGGGGTGACTGGATTTCTGCATGCACTGCAGGACCGGTTTGTAGACAAGGAGCAGGCCAGAAAAGCAGCAGACAAAATTTTGCGTCTGGGCCATAAAAAGTTAGATGGATTCTTGTCCAAACTGTACTCCACCTTTGAGAGTCTGACATCGACTCCTGGGTTGGAGATGAGTGAGCAGGATCTGCTCATTCATTTCCTCAGGGCAGCGCCAGAGCAATTTCAGCTTCCTTTATTCTCTCAGGGCCACAAGGACTGGCGGTCCTTTGGCAGAGCAGCCCTGGACTTGGAGTCCAAACTCCATGTCCAGAAAGCACATTCTGAAGGAAGGAAGGGACCCTCCTCAAAGGGCCACAGAAGGAGGAAGGGTGCCCTGTTTGCTGCTGCAGCCTTGAGTTCAGATGATGATGCAACATCCCAGGGTGGGACCCCTCCATCTGGGACTGCTTCCTCATCTGCTGCATATCTTGTTCTTGCCCTAGTTGATGCTTTGATGAGTCTGACCAAGGGTAAATCTCAGGCTCAGAAAGCACCAACCAGCAGTAAGGGGAAAGGTAAGGGACGTGCCTCTTCCCCTACTGCCCAGAGAGTACCTCTACCACGAGACGTCCGTTGGCCAGTTGACCCCCTTGATCCTTCCACCTTCCCCTGGCATGCACTCAGGATCCAGGAGGGGGTCTGGAGGAAGAGAAAGGACAAGGGTGTCTGCCTGAGATGCGAGGGGGAATGCGCCAGCATGCCTCGCAGGTCTACAGGCATCTCTAGTTCAAAAAACTAGAGCAGAGAGAGGTGGAAGCAGCAGCTCCTTCCACCAGTGCTGATTCACTTTCTGACGAAGGTGAATCTTCACATTCTCTCGCTGGTTCTTCCATTTCTGGAGTTGCATTTTTAGGGTCCTTCACTTTTGAGGACTCTGAGTTGGATGAGACGTGGGAGGAGGAGGATGCTCAGTGCCTTGCTGATCTTTTCCTGTCCTTGCAGGAGAAGAAAAAGCAAAGGTCAGAACTCATCCTGCTTCGACCTTCTATCCTGGGAGCCAAGATCAAAGGGCTCTTAGACTTTGGGGCTACTCGCAATTTCATGTCTCCCAAGGCAGTCAACAAGTTGCACTTGAATCAGAGATTGGTGAAATTACGACAGCCTATAGAGGTTCGAATTGGGAACTCTTCCACAGTCAAGATCACTACTGTTGTCAAGGGCCTACCTGTGTCCTTTGACAAGCAGGGAGAAATCAGTCACCGCCTGAATTTCTACGTGTTCCCTAACGTTCCCTTTGACCTTGTCTTCTCTATGCAGTTGCTTGGTGCCACCAATCCTAGGATCGACTGGCGGATCCCTAGGGTTGAGCTACCTGACCGGCATGGGGTTTATCGCCCTTGTATGCTCGTTGAAGAGTACCATCCGACCAGCAGTTGTTATTGCATGAGTGCTCGCAGATTTCTGCGTTTTTCTCGCCAGACTGACCACACCCGTCTGTTTGTGGCTTACGTCAAACAGACTGATGTGGAAACTGTTCCCTGCCCCTCTCAAATTGAGCAGGTTGTTGACCGCTACTGGACTTGTCCATAGGCAGACCAAACATAAGATCGAGATCCTGCCTGGTTCGGTCCCTCCCAAGGGTCGAGTCTACAGGATGTCACCCGCTGAACTTGAAGAGCTCAAGAAACAGTTAGAGACCTTGACCAGCAAGGGTTGGGGATCAGGCCCAGCACATCTGAGTTTGGGGTAACAGTCCTCTTCGTTCCAACGGGGAATGGTAAGTTCAGGATGTGCGTGGACTATCATGGTCTCAACAAAATCACGAGGAAGTCTGCAGAGCCCCTTCCTCGCATTGATGATATGTTGGACATCGTGCAGGGTTGTACCATCTTTAGTAAGATCGACCTCAAATCTGGTTATCACCAAATTGAGATGGTTGAAGGGGATGTCCACAAGACAGCCTTGAAGTCCAGGTATGGCACCTACATGCCATTCGGTCTTTGCAACGCCCCGGGCACCTTTCAAACAGAGATGCATCGCATACTCAGGCCTTACCTGGACAAGTTTGTAGTTGTCTACCTAAATGATATCTTGGTATTCAGTCGTTCTGTCCAAGAGCATGTGCAGCATCTGGCTCTGGTCCTCCAGGCCTTACGTGATAACCAGTATAAGATCAACAGGGAGAAGTCCTCATTTGGAGTGCCCTCTATAATCCATCTGGGTCACGTCATTTCTGGAGAGGGGTTGGCTCCTTAAGCAATGAAAGTTGCTGTAGTTCAGGACTGGTCGCGACCTGCTAACATTCGTGATGTCCGGTCATTCTTGGGACTTGCATCTTACTATAGGAAGTTCATCCAGAACTTCTCTTCTATTGCAGCTCCCTTGACTGATCTCACAAAGAAAGACACTTCCTTTCTTTGGACATCAGAATGTCAAGAGGCTTTCACATGTCTCAAGGAGACCTTGATTCGTGCCCTTGTCTTGAAGTTACCTGACCCTACCCTGCCTTTTGTGCTTACCACTGACGCTAGACAGTATGGTGTAGGAGCGGTACTTCAACAGGATGATGGGAATGGTCTGCAGCCTATCGAGTATATGAGCAAGAAGATCAAAACAAAGAAGTTGCAGGACTCTACCTATGAGAAAGAGTTGTATGCTCTTATCTCAGCGCTCAAGCATTGGAAGCACTTCCTCCTGGGCAGGTACTTCAAGATCTTCTCAGAGCACTCCACCTTGGATTTTATGCTCCATCTTTGCTCTAGAAGAACTGGGCAACCCAGCCAGTTTCCTCAACAGGGAAAGCAGAGCAGAAGGAGCTTTTAAGGTTAGTACCCTCAGAAGAATCAGAGTAATCGAAGGAGACAGAAACAGGGTCCACAAGCCAGAAACAGAACTAAGCTATCTGGAAATCGACCCAACCGAGTGGTCTTGGAGGACATCAAACCCCAAATCCCTCATTGAACATCACCACATGCTACCCAACACCCCTGAACTGGGTTACAGGTTGTTCTCAAAACCAACCTCGGTACCAACCTTGCCACAGAAAAGATGGGAAAAAGAAGAAACCTCGATTCCAATACCCACCATCAAACCAGTCTGGTCTTCGATCTTCTGCACAAAACCAACCAAGCTAGCAAGCCTACTATGGCTCATAACCTTCAGGGCAGTCCCTGTCAACCTATGGCTATCACAAAGAAGAAGAAAAGAAGATAGATCAGAACAAGCAAGATGGTGCAGGGTATGTAATTCACAAACCGATGAATCCCTTAACCACTGATTTATAGACTGCGTAAAAGCCAAACAGCTATGGCACGACGTAGACACAACTTGGAACAAACATTCCAACAGTAAGATAGTAATTAAACCCGCTACCCTTTTCCTAGACAAGGAACAAACCCCTCCTCTTAGAGGATTTGAACTCTTCCTTTTCTCGCAAATCAGGAAAGGCACCCTATGGGCAATTTGGAAACGGAGATGTACAGCAAACTTCAACGATATCAGCGTCAAGCCCGAGAACCCCCTCATCATCATCAAACAAATCATCGAAACAGAGATACAGGCCATATGGAATAAAACAAAAAAAAAACAGTTTCAGGAAACACCGGGTAAAAGAATAGAAATCATCAGGAAATTCACGACCACAAGGCTAGGCAATGGAAAACTAGGCTCAATCAAGGGAGATAGACTGGTCCTCAAGGATTGGCTAGTCATACCAACACAAAGCGATCATGAGCCGCTCACCTCCCTAAGGACTACTTCAACCCCTCCGCCAGTTGACTCCAACACATTGCCCGAAGATGCAGCAGATTAGAGGATCCGAGCCCGAAGAGCAAATCTAGAGCCAAACCCACAACAAGATTAAGACGACATGATAGATCCCATACCAAGGCACCTCCCAGCACAGGACCTTCCCCTAACAAATCCATCACCCCCTCCTCCTTGGGAACATCCAGACATCAGCAGCCCCATTATGTCCTGAATAACCACTAAAAACCTGGACACCTATTAAAATGCAACCTCCCACCATAATACCACATTTTGACCCACACCAGGTCTTCCCCAAACACAGATATACCCACATCAGAAGCCCTCCAATCACCCTGAAAAGTCTCCCCATCCCCAGTCCCAAATCTGCACGGAGAGTCCACTAAAACCCTTAACCCTAATAGAAACATTCCCTCCCACTCTGATCCAATACCATAACGACAAATCCCATCAAAATACCTTCTCACCCACCCCTTTACACCCACATACACTCTCTATTCCCAACTAACAGGATAGACAGCCTACTTGACAGTCTTGAACAGAGCTAGTTTCACTCCACAACCACCCAAGGAGCTACAGTAACAAGATTTTTTACCAAGTTTAACAGGCAAGGAAGCAAGGGTACATCAAGGCCTAAGATAATAGGGCCAAAAGACTAGTATAGGACACAGAGGAATACCAAGCTAGCGACTCCAGCATTTCAGGTCATACAGATAGCCAACTAGCTGAGAAGAATCCTATAGAGACAGCCTCCACAGGAAGGTTTCTATCAGTAAACAGCTGAGAAGTAGGACGGAGCAAAACCATTCGTGACAAAAATAAGCAATAGTCTAGAACAGGCTAACGTAGGCAGGGGTGAAGATTGGTACATCCTTCTTCATGGAAGTAATCAATGCCGCCTTCAGGGCCTCCACGCCATAAGGGGGAGGAGCGTGAGTCAGTAAATTTTTGTACTATTTTGACTTGCCGGGGGAATAGGAACCGGACTGTTGCAATACCTTTCTCGGCCTTTTGGCTAAGATCAAGTCCAGTATCTGTTCTGATCAGTTTAATATCTCATCCGTAGTCCATCGGACCACACGATATTAAATTAATTTTTCTGGGCTACGGAGGGGTCGTATGGGTAAGCTTGCTTGCTCGACCCCTTCAGCGTTGCCTCTGTATTGCACTGCAGCGCGGCCCTCCTCCCCTCCGGGGGAACAAAAAGGAACCGGACTGTTGCTCCCCAGAATGGACATGGAGCCAGAACCTTTTTTTTTTTTTTTTTTTTTTTGGTTTAACAGATCCTTATGGCCCTGGCTCCATTTCCATTCTGGGGAGCATCAGTCCGGTTCCTATTCCACCGGCAAGTCAGGAAAAATAATCACATCATAGAACACCCTCACGCTTCGTTCCATCTGGCTGAAGGAACCCTGATCAGCATTGATTACTCCAACATTGTGGAGGATTGACTGTCAGCTTGCCCTACTTCCACCTTCCCTCTCGGGACTACTATAAGGGCCTGTCAGATAGAACATGAATAGCAAGAAAGGTCTGAGAAGCTGCAACTCTTGCCAGTTCTGTCTAAACCCTACCCCCCGCAAATGAACCTCGTGAAATCCCAAGCCTTCTCACCCCTGCTTGTCTTGTTTCTGTCCAAACCCTCACCCCTAAACCCTAAACCTTAAACAAGATTAATCTTTTTCCATCTGTTCCACGTGAAACATCGGCTGCTGTCTGTCGCGCGTGTATCTTGGATGCTCTTCTAGGCCCAGATCGGCGCTGGTTCCTCATGTACCTCGGTATTCTGCTGGAATACAGACTTGACAGAATTGTGCCACTCTTTCCATCTTAAAACGTGCCCATTTAGCCATGCCACTTTGTCACCTACCAACCAGACCCGCTTAAATTTGGCAAGTGTCACCTGTTCTGTCTCTGGACTGTTCTGTACCCAGAGTATAACCTTTCTCCAATGACAGAGGATTTCAGCTTCAATCATCTCTTTGGTTGCTGCCCACACTTTCTCCCGTGGGTTCTTCGTGCTGTCCAGTGTTCTGCTGCATCTTTCCTTCCATATGGCCTACAGCGTGACCTTGAGCACCATCCCGAACCAGATTTTCTCTGATTGGCCGAAGTTAGGGGGTAGATTAGTCCAGAGGAGCAGCTGAAGGGGGTGCTCTGGGAGGGGAGACGAGAAAAGACTATCCCATAGTGGTGCTGCCCTTGCCCAATACTCTGTGGCTTCTTTACAGTTAATTAGGCAATGTATCACATCTTCCTGTTCTTGATCTGAGCAGACTGCACAGATCTCAGAGCTGATCAGATCGTTCTTTCTTCTTCTAACATGTAGCCACTGGTTAACTGGTAGGGCAACATATGTTATGAGCCACTGCATACTTCTGATTTTTATAGGTTTTATCGTTTTATATTTCTTCCATGGAATTTTTCCTATCTGATCTGCCTCCGAACCGATTAATTTGCTCCATCTTCCTTTGATTGTAGGGTCTGGGTCCTTTGTCTTTAACAGCATCTTGTAGCCCAGTTTAACTGTATAATCATATATTGGAATTGGTGATTTGGTCGTTCTATTTTGGTCGGGGGGCCACGCCCATTCGGAGGGATCAAACTCGAGGTCTTGAATTGCTGTCCCTATTTGAAATATCTGATTTGGCCAGAGACCTAATGTTCTTATTTTACGGAGTGTAAACGCATCCAGCACTACTTTTTCAGGGTTGATATTCTGAATGTACGGTTCATCTGGCTTGGTCTTCAGGATCGAGAAGGATGTGAAGACGTCTCGTGGACCTGGACCTGATATCCAATGGGAAAACTGGTAGGCCCTTTCGAGGGAGGCGTCCTGGATTCGGGCCCCCCACTCACCGGTTTCCACGTAAAATCCCCCTTTAGTAGCTCAGCCCAGCCCCCCGGAATGCACTGTATAATCTTTTGTACGCTCTCATCTCTGTGGTGGCAGCCTTTCAGTCGAGTTTTAAGCTCATTTTCGTCCAACCAGTTCTTCCTATCCTTGTTCCAGATGTCACCTACTCGCCAGACACCGTGTTTGATCCATGACAGCCATCTGTTGCCTCTGTGGGAGAGTGTCCACGGGTGGTCACCCTCGTCTTTGATCCAGGGGTTTCCAAAGAGAGGCTGCCTGAGCACTTCCTCTTTGGACCTGGGTTTGTTTCGTTTCTCGGGCATGATCTCTCTCCAAATACGTATAAGGGTCGTCCAATAGGGGATAGGTGTCTGGTTGTGAGTTGGGGGAGCGTGAGTCCCATGTTCTCTCCTCCCTGCTTTTGGAATCCAGTCTTTGTTCATGACCCAGAACAATCCGGACATGTTAGTGGGGGATTTCGTTGGGGCCAGATTCCTGATGCTATCTTGTGCTAGTTTGTTCCACAATAGTGATTGTCTAGTCAGAAGCTTAATGACCCACCTGATTTGCAGGGCTTTCGTTTCTTGTTTGGGGTCAATAATGCCTACCTTCTTCCCCCGAACACAACGTACGGTCATTATACCTGTATGTGAGGCATCTTTCAGTCTAGATACGGCTATAATGACCGTTTGTTGTATTCGGGGCAAGAAGGTAGTCCTCCTTGTGTTGGTTTCCTTGTGATATAGTGCCAAGCTATCTTTGGGATGAAATTTTCTTTGTTGGGGTTTCCTGACCATAAGTAGGCTCTGGCTTTCTTGTTTAGATCTTTGATGGTCTGGTCTGGTATTGTCCAAATGGAGGCCATGTAGCACATCATTGAGAAGAGGGAGGTGTAAATGGTAAGTGCCCTACCCAATCGCGATGTAAATGCTTGACTCCACTTTCCCATTTTGCTGATTTTTCCGGCTAGGAGATTTTGTGCCATCTGGGGAGCTGGGCCGTCCTTTGTCACTTGGATCCTCAGGTATCTCGTTGGTTGCTCCGGTATCTCCCAAGACATCTGATCCTCTGGACCCTGAAGTTGTGGGATGGGTTCGTTGGATAACCACCACCTTACCGTCTTTACCCAATTTATCTTCATTTTTTATGCCAGTCTGAACGCTTCCATTGCTCTGACTAAGGCTGCCATGGATGAGTTGGAAGCGAGTATCAACGATGTTAAATCATCTGCGAACATGATTACTGTGGGAAATGTGAAGTGGTGTGAGGAGCCAACATTCATTTCAGGCTCCGGTATCTCCCAAGACATCTGATCCTCCGGACCCTGAAGTTGTGGGATGGGTTCGTTGGATAACCACCACCTTACCGTCTTTACCCAATTTTATCTTCATTTCTGATGCCAGTCTGAACGCTTCCATTGCTCTGACTAAGGCTGCCATGGATGAGTTGGAAGCTCGTATCAACGTTGTTAAATCATCTGCGAACATGATTACTGTGGGAAATGTGAAGTGGTGTGAGGAGCCAACATTCATTTCAGGCAGTCTTTGGATGGATGGGTCTTTACGGAGGAACAAAGCTATAGCTTCCAGTACAAATAGAAAGATAGGCGGTGCTAACGGATCGCCTTGTCTTACCGACTTGGAGATTGGGTAGCCTTCGGACAGCAAACCGTTGATCTGGACGCATATGGAGGCATTATTATATAGGACTCGCACCCATTTCCTGAAGTTGGGACCTACCCCCACTCTTTCCATACACGCATCGAGGAACTCCCAATTAACCTGATCGTATGCCTTTTCGAAATCGAAGAAAAGAATCGCTGTGCTGATTTTCTTCTCCATCACTTTCTCGGATGCCTCGTTGAGGGTCATTACACTGTCCAAGATATACCTGCCTGGTATGAAACCCGACTGGTCTATGTGGAAGCATTTGTCCGTCACATTCAATATGCGGAAGGCTAGGGCTTTGGCCAATATTTTATTGGGGACTGTGAGAAGGGATATTGGTATGTAGTTTTTGATGTCTTCTCGGTCTCCCTTCTTGTACAGAAGTGTCACAACACTGGTGCTGAGGATTTCGCCCATACCCTCTTTTTCCCAACTGTCCTTGTAGAAATTCACAAGGTCCAAGCCCAGTAGAGGCCAAAATTTCTCCCAAAATTCCTTTGTCAGTCCGTCAATGCCTGGGGTTTTATTATTGTTCATGATCTGGATGGAGCCAGAACCTTAAGATTCTGTTATGGAAAGAAAAAAAAAAAAAAAAAAAAAAGCAGTCTTTACGCAGGCTTTCTTTCAGCGGTTTTGTTGTGGACTA